CTCTCTCTCTCTCTCTCTCTCTCTTTCCTCCCTCCCTCCCTGTCTCTCTCTCTTTCTTTCTGCCACCTTTCTGCCTTCCCGCCTTCCCATGAACATTCACCCTTCAGCTTAACATCAACATTCAGCATCAGTAATAACTAACTCTAATCATCTCCTTGCCACTGCTTACACTTATCCCTTGCTAGCTACCTGTTCCTTCACTCTACACTCTGTGTCATCTTCTGCATAGTTTGTTTTTTGGTCTAATGAAATTTTATAACGTCTCAGATTAACTCCAACTGCTCTGATTACAAGGGAAAGTGCTCTAAATTTGCACAAACATAGGGGAGTAAGGTTGGGAGTAGTGGGAGGAATCAGAACTATGTATCATGTATTCCTTGATTTACACAATCTGGCAGATTTAAAAAATGATTCTTCAGGATGCACAATCTGGATTATTTTACTGGGATATTTTGTTAATTCGGTAGGAAGGCTGCACAGAGAGGGAAACTGAGAGAGCACCTTGTCTCAGAGTTTAGAAAAGGGACATTCTGGCTCCTGGGTGCCATAGTCCAAAAAGTAACTGTTCCAAACTCGACCTGGTTCTACACCTTAATTCAGTCTTGGTTCTCCTGCACCTGATGACCCTTATCTATCAACCCACCCATGCATACACCTTATTAATTCATGATGATGGTATCTCCCCTGCCAGGTAAAGGTTCTTGGCTTGACTTATTCATTCTCTGGTCCCTGGTACAGATTCCCTTCTTACTTGGGTGACTTGAGGTCACGATGGATGATTTTATGGAGGTGCAGGTAATTCATGCCGCCAGCTATCCCCATGGACCAGTCGACCAAAAGGGAGGGGGTGACCTTTCGTCCTGCACGTAGCACCTCATACAGCTGGCCCTGGGCACAGAATTCCATGATGATGCAGTAACAAGGAGCCTGGGTACACACACCCCTAAGATGAAGGAAAGAGCAGGGGGCACATTAGATACTGACTGGGAACATAGGCAGAGGAAGCCTTTTAAAGCCTAAAACAAGTTAAGATGCCTTTTAAGGTTGTTGTGGGTTTTT